ATCCTCAGAATTCTGGAGGATTGTGAAGTTGTTTGTTGACTTTTCCCCAAATTTTGATCAGGTGGAGAATGGCTTCAAGGGCAACAGTTTTCCTATTATAATAGCTGATGCTGCCATTTGTAAAGAATTGAGACTTCTGGAATCTGAACTTGACATAGAAGCTAAAGCTTCTGATATTATTCCTGAAGAGAATGCTTATGATTGTCACCGTACACGGTCAAGGGAGGAAGTCCTGCACTTTCTGAATGAGCTCGGATGGCTATTCCAGAGAAGCACTAATCCCTTGCACAAGAGTTCTGATCATTCTCTTTACCGGTTCAAATTTTTGCTCATATTCTCTGTTGAGAGAGACTATTGTGCTTTGGTAAAGGTACTTCTTGACATGCTGGTGGAAAGCAGCTTGGATACGGATGGGCTATCCAAGGAGTCAGTGGCCGTGCTTTCTGAAATTCATCTCTTAAGCCGAGCAGTGAAAAGAAGGTGCAGGAATATGGCTGACTTGCTTGTACAGTATTCTATTAATAGCAGCTATGAAAGCTCAAAAAAATATATCTTCCCACCAAATCTTGAAGGTGCTGGTGGAGTCACACCTTTACATTTGGCTGCATGTACATCCGGTTCAGATGATTTGGTAGATGTGCTGACGAATGATCCACAGGAGGTACGAGTTATTGCAGCATTTCATTTAGGTTTAATACAAGGAATTGAAACTCCTCCCTGATAATCTGTCGGACTATTTTAGTTAAATAGGATCATTTCTTGCATCCTAGAGTAGAAGTACTCTTCCTCTACTGATACATTGCTGATCTTATCCTGAACATAAATGATAAAAACCGGGTTTAGACCTTTCTCTTAATTTTTGAAAAGAGATGGGAAGGTGGTTGGCACATTGTTTTTATACATACTTGGCCAAATGTATCTATTTCATTTATTTGTAAATTATTTACTAAAGATTTCAACTTCTTTGTAGATTGGTTTGAGCTGCTGGAATTCCCTTCTGGATGCAAATGGGCAATCTCCATATGCCTATGCTATGATGAGAAACAACCATTCTTACAACAAATTGGTGGCCGGCAAATATGCTGATAGAAAGAATGGTCAAGTTTCTTTGACTATTGGTGACGAGTGCTTGGGCATCACTGCAGCGCAGTTAAGCAAGAAAACTTCACAGTTAAAACAAAACCGTAGTTCTTGTGCCAAGTGTGCAGTTGTGGTAACAAAGTATAGCCACAGGTTTCCAGGTTCAAATGGTTTGCTCCAACGTCCTTATGTTCATTCAATGCTTGCCATTGCTGCTGTCTGTGTTTGTGTCTGCTTATTCATGAGGGGTTCGCCTGACATTGGCAAAGTTTCTCCCTTCAAGTGGGAAAATTTGCATTATGGCACAATTTAATTGGTAGGGAACAAATCATTTTGAAGCAAGTAACAAACTAGGGGCAGATTATGCAGGGTTCTGTGGACATTTGAGCCCAAGTGAAGTGAATGGATAAAACTGGCTTTGGTACAGGGGAACACTCCATATGCTGCTTATTGCTTGTTTAGCATACCTGAGATGTGGGGTATCCCCCTGAAGGCTCTGCCCTTGTTTTGGCCTATGTATATTGGATTGTGGTAATCTCAGATCCTAAAGACCATACATAGGCCGAGATTATACCTGGAAGAGATGAGAGGCACAAGCATGGACGAATGTTGCTACTGGTAAAATTTTGGATTGGAAATGTCAAAAAGTTAAAAAGGCAAGAGTTCTCAGAGAAGATTTAAGCAATCATTTCTGGGAAATAAATAGAAATAAAGTCAACTTAATATTCAGGTGGTTGTATTGTATTCTATTGTGTTTGCATGTTTCACTTTGATTTGATTCCTTGAGAGTATTTTAGAGCTTGTATTAGTTTCATTATCATCTCATTGTAAAATTGTTGAACGTGTAGGATCGATTATTTCGCACAATGTTGTACTTTGTACGAATACCAATTATATATCAGTAAGTTTAATCATTATTTGTATCCCATTTGCATGACGTGTCATTATAACTTTTTTTTATATTTTTATGTGTAAAAATAATATATATAGTTATATTTATAAGATTAAAATTAAATTTTGACGACACATGACAATTTTTATATAGTGTGTTAATGGGATCTGAAGGGAATGATCTATCTTCTTAAAAGTTTTAATATTTTTTTTAATATATTTTAATAATTTCTATTTATAATTTAATTTTACTTTTTAAAATATTATAAAATTTTCATTCAACATAAAATTATACATTTGTCTTCATAATAATGTGTTAATGGGATGGGAAATTGGGAATGTACACAAGGCGATTGAAACAATACTTGGTCTGTGTTTGTTTTTTATGTGCCGTGAGAATATCTATAATATGAAGGGAGAATGGTTATTGGTTGAAAATTGGATACGTAGGGGCTTGGTCAATTAGCGGTAGACAGTGCTTGCATGCGTGGATGCGTTTCATAATTGGATAAATCGTCGAGCTACAAATTATTAGGTATATTTGTTGATATTATTAGGTATATTTGTTGATATTATTAAAGAAGAAGAAAGCATCAAGGGTTGCATGTTGATGACTTGATGATAAATAAGGTTGGCACGACCTCCGGAAAGCGATGCTTTTTATATATGGTGCGAGGTTGGTCTTGATGCCCGGGATGATGAGTCTCGATCCATCTTTGGTCTTGAAGGAGAGTAACTACATACCTATTATTTTAGTCGTTAAAAAAATCACCGTTAAAAAACTAAGAAAATGATTTAAAACCATCATCTTAATTTTATTCTTCTTTTATTTTCTATAGAAACAAATGATCTGAATACCGATCAACCGTCATCTAACCATCAATTATAATTTTCTCTTCCAATCAAAATGAAAGTTGTTTGCTCAATAAGATATTTTACTAACTAAAGTATAATTGGGAAATGTTTTTGACCCCAAAAGAAGCTTACCCCAGCCTAATATTTTACTGATAAGATTCAGTTCAACAACAAAAAATTATAAATTTATAATATAAATGATTAAAATATTATTGTTTTAAAAATTGATGTTAAAACATGAATAAAAATAAAATGGAAGTGATCATTTCAGTAGTTTATCCTAACAAATAACGGCTGCGCATTGATTGTGTTTGTGCTCCAAGTAAGTGACTTCACACTACTGTTTTGAAAACCGGATCAGACCGATCGGTTTAACCGGGAACCGTTGCTTAGTTCGATTTAATCTAAACCGGTTAAATCGTTATTAGTGAACCGGTCAGAATCGTTGAACCGTTCGAACCGGACCGGTTGAAAACCGGAAAAAATCGGAAAAAACCGGGATTTTTGTTTTTTTTTTAAAATTAAACCAAACAACGTCGTTTGTTAAACGAGCCAAGTCAAACTCGAGTATTACTAAGCTCGACTAGAACTTAAAAACTTTAAAAGTAAGCTCAACTCAACTCAAACTCGAAATATAATATTGAAACTTGAACTCAAAAAGGCTTGAACTCAAAAAAAAAAATTAGAAGCTCGATTGAAGCCTAAAATTTGAGTTTGATTGAAGTGAAAGAATAGTTCACTCAATGCTCACAAAAAAACTCCATGATTTTGAATGCCAAATTACCTCTATTATTTATAGAAGTTAATTGTTATGCGTTTCTATGTTTCTTAGCAATGTGAGATTGTTTTGTTCTCATATTTTTTACTCTTTAGACTTTTGGATGCTTTTCTATGTTTCTTAGCCATGTGGAATTGTTTTTAAAAAAAAATTAAACCAAACAATATCATTTTGTTATGATTTTTTTAACCCCAAATTTATTTTTTAATTATAGTTATATAATTATATTTATTATTTAATATGTTTTACCTTAAATATTATGTTGTAGTTAATTTGAATCATTTTGTTTCACTTGATTTTATGGTTTTTAACTTATATATGTTATGACTTGCTTTGAATATGACTTATGATATACAAAATTATTTTTTATTAAATATTTTTGATATTTTTATTTAATTTTTTAAATAATTATGACGTCGTCCGGTTCTTCCGATCGATCAGACCGATTCTTCCGATCGATTAGACCAGTTCGATCGGTTAAATCAGTGAACCGGTAGCATGACCGGTTCACTAACCGGTTTGATTATGAAAACCATGCTTCACACACACCACAACGCGTCATTGCTGAGTTCACACAGTGCTGGCTCAGTCTCTCTTTCTTTCTTTTGATAATAACGTGTGAATTCAAACTCCGTTTAATGCACTCAATTGTATTATCAACGTTATGGAGAGACAGGGTTCTAACTTTTATGGTATAATTACTTTTAACATCCTCATTACTTTTGAGATTAATGAAATCAAGTTAATATTATTTTATTTTCTTTTTTTGAGATTAATCAAATTAAGTTCGAATCTCCACTTTACTCTTTTACTACTTTTAGATAGCTTTGAATTTAATATCTAAATAATTTGACCCCATGATTGTATCTTAATTTCGTCTCTGTCTATTATGATTATATATAGATCGTTACAATAATTGTTTTTATAATTATTTAAAATTGTATTGATATTTTTATGCTTATAATTATAATAATTTTAAAAAATACCTTCGTTTTTTAAACTTTTGTGATTAATTTTTTGAATAAAAAATTTTGTGATATAAAGGATACAGCAAGGGTAGGCAAAAGTCAAAAATGACAGTTGGAAGAAGACGACACTCTAGAAATAAGAATGTCGCAAAGTAAGTCATGAGTCAGCATCAATCGGCTGTACGTATCTCTATCCCCTGTTTCGTTGAAAACTACAGCATTTGACTTTTACCAACTCTGTTAACGGTATTTCGTGTTCACCGCGTGACGGCGTCGCTGGCGTCATTAACCCACGTTCACATCTCCTTCTCCTGTCCCATTCACTCGTTTCTTCTAGTTCATTCATCTATATAACAATACCAACAATAATAACAGTATTTGTTTCTCTATGTTCAACTCGACTCCATTGAATACATCTGTTTCCAGATCCGCCGACATCGACTCAATTCTTGTTCTTCTGTTGATTGTTGATTCTCTGTACATGCAAAATGGGAACCTGCTTCTCTTCCGAGGAATTGATGTCCGAATCAACGCATCACGCAACTGCTCATGTTGTTTCAGTCAATGGCGATCTTCACAGATATAACCTCCCCGTCTTCGTCTCTCAGGTTCTTCACGCCGAAACTGCTTCGTCTTCGTCTTCTTCTGATATCTTCCTTTGCAACTCCGACAGTTTGTCATATGAAGAATACATCCCGGCCTTGGATGTCGACGATCAGCTGCAAGCCAATCAGATGTACTTCGTGCTCCCTATTTTGAAGCTCCAGCATCGATTGGCCTCCAAGGACATGGCGGCTTTGGCCGTCAAAGCCAGCCTTGCTATGGAAAACGATTCCAAAAACTACTCTAATCGCCGCAAGAAGGCTCGGATTTCACCCGTGACGGTCGCCGCCGCCTATCAATCGCCTTCCGATTCTGTTGGTCCCGGCGCCAAGTCCTTCTCGAAACCGCAACCTCGGCAGCCCGGGATGTCGAGATCGGGTTCCATTAGAAAATTCCAGAGATACACCTCCAGACGAGCTAAATTGGCCGTTCGATCTTTTAAGCTGAGATTGTCCACCATTTACGAAGGTTCCGTTCTGTAATCTCTCTACGGATTGATCAACCTTTTCATGCTAATTTTTTTTCATGAATTACAATGTAAAATTTACTTTTAATTCATTCACTACATCCAACCCTTTTCTGTATAGGAATTTGAGACATCGTGAGTATGTTCTTTTTTGTTGAAAAAAAATTCTGAGATTCAATCATTTCACTGTTACATTGATTTCCTCCCCTGGGTTTTTATGTAATTTCCTGCTCTTTGAATCAATTGGAGCATCTAAATATCAACATCGAAACTCCAAATGCTGAAGTTGTGGTCTCCATTGATTATTTGTTTTACAAGTTGAAATGTAAAGGAAAAGTACACAAATTGTTCCCGATTATAAAATATTATTTTATTGAGTCATCTGATTATTAAAAGTTATAAAATAGTTCATTGACTATAAGATTTTTTAAGTCCCTTGACTATTAAAAGTTACAAAATGGTCACTAAACTATTCATATGTTCCAAAATCATCATTTTCCGTTAAAAAATTTGGCATCCGTCTGAATTGGACATTAACCCGCTGACTTAGATATGATAAAATCATATTTTCATATTGTCTACTGGCACCACCGTTACTTTCAAGCATTGGCTCGCTAGCATAATATTTCAAGAACTAACTCAACGACATAATATAAATGGAGTTTTTGATCCTCAAAATACAACTAAAATGATTATGAGATCAGATTTTATCATATGTCAGTCAACAAGTTAACGTCAATTTCATATGACCACATCTTTTAACGGAAAAGGACGTGTTTGAAATATATGAATAGTCGAATGACCACTTTGTAAATTTTAATAATCAAACGACTCAACAAAGCAACACTCTATAGTCGAGGGACTATTTTGTAACTTTCAATAGTCAAAAAAACTCAACAAAGAAACACCCTTTAATAGGAGGACCGTTTGTGTATTTTATCCAAATGTAAATTGGATTTGTTTGATACCATAATTTTAACCGAATTCGAAGTCTTTACATGTGGATTGTAAGCCATAGAGAGCATATTTATTTATTTCTGATTCGGTTCCAAAATTCTACTTATTTTGTGTGTTTCTTTATAGCAGGCATAGTGATTAAGAATATTATACTATTCATGCTCGAATATTGATACTATTAATAAAGGATAATCATAAATCTAAACATATTTTATATAAGCGATTATTTCAGTATTGGTTGGTCAAGCATTTCTCTATAATATTATCCTCTTAAATTCGATAATTTCGACTAGATCATATTTTTATCTTATCTTACCGGATTTTAATTATTATCTTATTGGTTGGTCAAGCATTTCTCTATAATGTTATGAGATATTATTTCCTCCCAGATTATCTACTTGATGATATTATACATGTACTCCACAATTACTAGTGGTCAGGGTCATAATAATATACGAGGATGACTGTTTTTTTAATTAATTATTTATCAATCAAGATCTTCTGAATATATATTATCTTGTAATCGTCTATACTAATAAAAAAGAACTCCCAGACTACCTAAGCGTTTAATGTCAACCTAAACGTGTAATATGGGATAACAGCATTCCCAGAAAAAATATATATATATGGGTATAAATGCAGTAATGTAATCTGGGTATGATATCTTTTAAAATTATATATATGGTATAATAATTAAATTTTATATCTAATGCAATATATGTTAATCAACATTATTTTATCTGATATTCTATATTACATTATACAAAAAATAGAAAATAATAAATAATCAGATAAAATTAAGGGAAATGAAATACATGTTAAAAAAGCGTTTTTCATTTTTAGGAAAATCAAAATTTATTGTCCTTCATTGATATACTAGAAAATTTATTTTAACATATTTTAATAGAATAATGATTAAAAAAATTATTAAAAATTATTTTTCATTTTCAATAAAAAGGGATATATTTCAGGGTTTCAATATAATTGATACATAAAATTCAAAAAACTTCTTTACATTTTTAATATGATTGTTTAAATTCATAAATATGAAAATAATGCACACTTAAATATTACTAAATTTATGTCCTTTTGTCAATCAAGCTTGTAATACATTAGCAAAGAATATCCTTTTAATCTTAATTGATAAAAATATTATATTTAATCTAATAAATTTATTACGCTCTGAATTTTGTATCCAAACTTATTAATTTTATTATTTTATTAATTTAAATTAATAACAGAGAAAAATAAAAAAAAATATTTTGAAAACATTGAATGTAGCGGTTTTTAAAGAAATAAATGGATTGTTAAGTTACATAATTCTCTCACATGTCATATTTTCAACCCCAAAATTGAGTTGTTAAATTATCTTAATTGATATTAAACATCTTCGGTTTCCAAATGGGAGCAGCCCGCTTCCCTTTAAAACCATGCATGCGCCATTTTATTAAGCATTGGAAGCAAACATGAATTCATCTCCGATTAACTGGTTCCTCCTCTCTCTACTGCTGTTTTCTATTTCCAGCGTATCAGGTTTCCTGGTTAAACCTATAACAACTGTGGTAATCCATAACGATATTGGAGCCGGATCATATCTCACCTTCCATTGCAAGTCGAAGAACGATGACTTGGGCGTACACGTTCTCACTTACGGGTATACCTACACGATCAAGTTCCGGCCACTCTTCATGACGGGAACCTTGTATTTCTGCGGCTTTGAATGGGATGGGACAGTGCATCGGTTCGACATTTACGATGAAGACAGGGATGACCCTATTTGTACACATTGCGAGTGGAAAATAAAGCCCACTGGTCCGTGCATGCAAAATCCAAGAAACTCCAAATTTGATATTTGTTACGGCTGGAAACCTTAGTCGCTCTCGCAGCTATCTGTAATCAACACTTTTTTTTTTATCTCTTGAAATAAATAAATGATTCCGGTAGCTACTCTAATCGCAAACACAGTTTGATAAGGAGTTTTTGTTAAGAAACAATAACCGGTTAGAACCCTTTGTTTGTGTTGTAAGTTGTCTTGGTTGCGGTAGAAACAAATGCACCGCCAACTTTTGTGTCTATTGGATGCTTATTGCTACACTTGGGTGATGGTGTTATTCGTGCGGTGAGTTGTCTTTGTGGGTGATGGTGTTCTTTCAGGTTATAAATAGGACTTTAGCTCTTAATCATAAATAAAATGATCTTTGCCGAGAAAAAAATAAACAAAAAGACAATCACAACCCTGAATATATTTTATAAGTGCGACATGAATAATGCCAAAAAAACATATTTTATAAGTGCTTAATCCAGTTTGACAAGGATTCCTGATGTGATGCAGCCCCTTTAAAAATGCTTTTTCTATGTTGTATCTCTTAACAAATAGTAAAGGAAGGGTGGTAACTGAGATAATTAATAACAATAGTTTTAAGAGCGTAAATTGGCATGATCTTTTTTGGAGGCCACTATTTTGATTTTTTAAAAATTCAACTCATTCGAAAAAAATTCGATATCCATAATAATCGTCATTCACAACCGTAATAACATAATACATCCGAAAACGAGGTCATAATTGTAATTTAAATCTCTGATTCTGAAAATGATGATAATGTCGTAATAGATAAGAAATTTTCAAATTTTCATAAACATGTTTGCATGTCTCTATTCTCGATTGTGCATCTGCTATTTTGCTGGGTATGTGTCTAATATGGTTATTGGCTATTTTAAGATCCTTAGGGACTGGTTAGTTTTTTCCAAAACTGTATAACGGACGCTGTCCATCTTTGTTATGAATATCCCTCATAACATTGATCGCATCTTTACAAGATACAACATATCCTCCATACACAGCAAGTAGTTCGACTATATCAAAGAATAACAGATAAACTTATAACGCTATTAATAATAGAAAAAAGAATTTTAAAAAATGTATTTTGAAAACATTGAATGTAGCAGTTTTTTAAAGAAATAAATGGATTGTTAAGTTACATGATTCTCTTCATCATCATCTTTCCAACTCTAAATTTTGTTTTTAAATTATCTTAATTAATATTGCACGTCTTCGGTTTCCAAATGGGAGCAGCCCGTTTCCACTTTAAAACCATTCACGTGCTCATTCTGTTGAGCATCAGGAAGTGTAATCGCCATTTTATTACCTAAACCCAACCGGCCTCAAGCCCAAACGAGAACCCAAAATCCGACCTAAATGTCTAAACACCAAACCCGACCCGAAACCCAAAAAACCTAACCCCTATTGTAGCCGTCCTAAACACCCCAATCAATGACCACCACCCTCAGCCCCAATCACAGCAAAGTCTCCACTCAATTGCTCATCTCCAGCTCGACGCTACCTACAGAAAACAACCAAAAAGAAACAAATTGCAATCATTTCTATTTTCTGTAAAAATGGGTATAAAACCCGAGCAAGAATGATGTAAACCTCTCGGGTTTCTCTAGTCTAAAAACTCTGTATTTTTTCGAAGCAATAAACAACAACCATTTCAAGGTTATTTTATTCTTTTGTTTTTTCAGTTTGATTTTTTTCCTATCCTTTAGTTTCGAAAAATAAAAAAAAGAAGGAACAGAGATTTACATTCGGCAGGCGCCTCGTCGGCAACCAGGGTCTTATTCGGCCAATTCAAGCTGCGAGGAGGAGCGCCTTGAGGAGGGGAGCAACATACTAAAATTTGGGCCCAATCCAACGACGAACGACGGAGATTCGAGCGGTGGAGGTCGAGAGGCTCTCGGCTCACTTCACGACGTTGGAGGCTGTTTCGTGCGAAACCTAGCCCAGGTTGACGATGGGGAGGTTGAGACGATCCTCCTGGTGAATTTTGGTGTCCAAAGGCCACCAACGACACGATGGCCGAATTCTTAGAGAGAAAATTTTAAAAACAAAATAAAAGAAAAAAGTTATTATTTATAGAAAAAAAATTCGGGGGAAATCACATAGAGGTCCCCCGAGTTTTCACGTGTTTTTACAAAATGGTCAAGTTCAGGGACTTCATAATGTACCCATTTTCGTTTGTGTTTTGTAATTTTTTGGTATAATTATTGTTTAGTCCCCCAACATTTCACATGTTTTTACAAAATGGTCTATGTAGGGACTTGTTTCATAATTTATCTATTTTTATGCATGTTATATTTTTGGGCAAATTCACTGTTTAGTCC